TTCATGCAGCATAGACTTTCCTTCTCCCACCTCATTTAATATTGAAAAAGTGCTGGAATATATATAATATCAATGCATTTTTTTTTACTACGGCTATCGCAAAGCCTATCAATATGCATGATTAATAATGAAAAATGTGCGATAATGTGCTTACGTAACCTTACGCAATGCCATTCAACTTGTCTTTGAAAACATGCTTGTTGTGAGAGGTGTGAAAAAAAAAACTGAGCTCAACGAAAGTTTGCATATATTCAAAACTGTGCAGAGGACAATTAAAGAGACATCACAATTTTACTCTTTATGCCCTTTACTTTGGAGGACATAAGCGAAGACGATTGTCGCATTACATGATTAATAATGAAAAATGTGCGATAATGTGCTTACGTAACCTTACGTAATGCCATTCAACTTGTCTTTGAAAACATGCTTGTTGTGAGAGGTGTGAAAAAAAAAACTGAGCTCAACGAAAGTTTGCATATATTCAAAACTGTGCAGAGGACAATTAAAGAGACATCACCATTTTACTCTTTATGCCCTTTACTTTGGAGGACATAAGCGAAGACGATTGTCGCATTAAAAAATATTATTATTCAATGTTATCAAAAATATTATTATTATTGTAAACGTATTTTTCATTTCTTTGCTTGCCATTAAGAGTTTAGATATCTTTCACTGTTTTACATGTATCTTGAAGTTGAAAAAGTTCAATATTCAATAACCGAATAATTAAGATAAAAATATCACAACTGAATAATCTATTAATGGTTGAAATTTTGCAATGTGTTTTGTTAAAAATAATTTTGCATTAACTTATAACTGATTTAACATTTTCTTGAAATTACCTACAAAAAAAATCCATATTAACAACTATTTTGTTATCCACTGTAAAATATTACATTTGAAAAAGATATCATTAAAATATACATACATTTTAAAATATTTTTATATGAATTAAATATTAAGAATATATGAATAATTATATTAATATTATATAATATTTCATTAAAATTATAATTGTTTAAATAAAATAATCGTTTAAAACTTGCCCTTCTAACTTAATGACTGTTTGGGGGAAAAAAAGAAAAATGAAGCGTCAAGTAGAAGCCACACATGCAAATTGTATAAAATGACCACAGATTTCGTTTCAGTCAGCGTGACTGTCATATTCTCATATGCTGCCGATTGTTCAGACAGAAAAAGAGCTGATGGTGTCTGTTGAAAAAGGTTGGTCTAGTTATTTCACCTAATTTTGCCACCCTTATAACACAATGCATGCATTGTGGGTTGTTTGAATTCTATAGGCCCCCAGAGACAATCGGGTCACTGAACTGCCACTATTTAGGGGCCTTTACCTTTGTCAACAGTGCAAAATACCTCAGGGGGCCAGTATGTTCCTGCTCACCTCTTCAACAATGAACTCAAATGTTTCCTGGCCTGTTGTAGAGTTGGGCACAGTGGGGTGGGGGGGTGTTTCGGTTCAACAGTAAGTTGTCCGATCTGAGATGGACTCACATGGAGAAGAGGACCTTGGGCGCACGGTGGAGGCCCTGTGTTTGGAGGTCAGGCCTCTCCAGAAGGCCAAACTTGGAGCCAGACTAGCCCACAGGAAGACGTTCAGTCTGGACTATACAAATGCCCACCGGGTGACTCATTACAGGGGGCAAAACTCCCCACGAGGATACTCTGATCTGCACTTTCCAGACTGTGATCTCCAGGCAGGGCATATGCTGAGGTCCACAGCCAGCCAGCAGACCTCCACTTCCCCATGCCATAGGACAAGCCCTCCTCCCTATAGCAGGACTGTGATGCTTTCGAGGAGGTCTGATCAAGAACCTGTTAGGTCAGATACTATTAGGGGCTCACGAATCCCTCACGAGGATCAGGAAGCGGGCGGCTCCTTCAACCGCAGAGCTCCTCTGATGTCTCTCAGCAGCTCTGAGGAGGAACAGGAGGCTGGAGAACAGGCTGGCAGAGCTCCAGCAGGGCTCAGCGTGGCTTCATCCCTGCTTACACCCACTCCCACTGGGGAACACAGGCTGGGTAAGAGAGAGAGGAAGCGACTGAAGAGCCTGAGGAGGAGACAGAGGAGGAGAGAGAGCCAGCAGCAGGAGAACGTGCAGGTGAAACAGAAACGCAATCAAGCATGTATTTACACACTCAGACATGCTGTCTGTGCTGTAATAGGACCGAAGCTTTTCTGTCAGAATATTAGCTCTTTTCAGCTGCATTTCTAGAGACGCGAACACTGACAGCGAATGAAGATAAGAAAAACTTATTTGCAATTGTTAATGTCTCTGTCAAAGGTGGTACAAATGAAAAAGTCAAACAATGCAACAAATTAAAGACAATATTCTATGAAGTTGTAATATTTTCTGTTAATTTAGAGCCAAAGATTAAATTATTATAGAATAAATAACTTGTCTAATTAATAAATAAAATTGATTTAATTGATTTAATACTAAGCATTAAATAAGTAATAATGTAAAATTCAAATAAATTATTTTATAATGAAAACTCAAAATGAAAAACTTAAAAAAGGAAATAAATATTTAATATATCTTATTTCATGAGTTTATGTTGATGCTGCATGTTTATTGTTTATATTTGCTACATATTTCTACAAGACCTTACATATATACATATATATATATATAAATTGTTTTATATTGATTTATAACAATATAAATTGTTTTATATAATACCTATAGTCAGCAAATGCTGTTATAAATGTTTACTGGCTTGGTTAAAATGGCATCAGGGGACTACAGTATTACTTTTATGATAAATATAAAACCTAAAACAAAACAACACAAATAAATATAAAACAGTTCAAACAAGACAATGCAATTATCACCCAGAAAAACACCAAACTAGTAAAAGACAAAGAGCTGGATGAGAGGAAACCTAGAGGAGAACAAGTAACTTTGATTTGCAGAAATAATAATAATAATAATAATATATTACTTTTATGATTTTGCTGCCGTGTTTGTCTTGTTTCTAGACTGATTGTTTTCTACATTGTAACAGACAATTTTTTTTTCAAATATATTTTTCAAATTACTCTTTCATGTTGAGGTTTATTTTGCGATAATGGTCAACTGGCTGTACATCATTTCTTACATATATTCATATATTATTATGTTATTCATTACTTCCTTTTTTCTCTAGCACATTATAAAGCTGAATGATCACCCACAGATCATTCATTCAGAATTTATCATTTTCCAGCAGAGGGCATCTTTCAACAATCAACAGGTTCTGCATTAGTGATTCTGAATTCACTGCAATAAACTCATCAGCATTAATGCTCACTCTATCATTGACGTAAAATTTCAATTAAAACCAAATTAAAGATTTAAAATGATTGTAAAAATTAAAATGTAGTTCTCTTTACAATGATTCTGATTGTCCTTTAATGCACAACACCCCAAAGTGTCTCCTATGAAATCATCACTTAAAAAGTGGTTTTCTTTCCTGGTTTTGGTCTGATTATTAGTACTCATTGTCAATTTGTCATTGTCCACAGTCTAGAAGTGGGGTGGGTTGTGATTTGGCAGATGAAGTAAGGACCCTTCATAATACAGTGACGAGAAAGAGAAATCCTACATTTTCATTTCTCTGGTAATAATTCTGGTTGTAGGCTGTTTATTTTCCCTTTGGAGTGCACACACTTCAAGGGTGACATACCATATCAATTAAAACACTGTGAATGCTTTCATATCCATTTATATAAAAGAGGATGGGTTTTTACTTTATTTTAGGCACTAACAGATTCCATGTGAGATGTTGATGTTAGGATTCTGGTGTCCACAGGAAGCGTTGCTGGGTTGTCAAGTGGGATGTGGAGGCTTTTATGAGATGTGTATTTGGTGATAATGACACACATGTTATTGTTGTGATTTTTGTAATCCTTTTTGGGAATTGTTGTTGTTGTTGTTGATGATTATGATGTTTTTTTTAAATCTTTTTGGGAATTTATTAAAGTTACCCAAGAGTTTAAAAGACCACACACACAACTTTAGCTAATAAAAAAGAATAATAAAAATAGCTAGTTAATAGAAAATCTACTAGTATTATTTTTTATAATTCCTTGTTAATCCTGGAACAACATTCCAATCAACCAATCAGAATAGAGATATAACTTTTCAGGAAATATCTGTTTTAGGCTTATAATCAGGGTTAGGTGCTTCTACACCCTTGTTAATCAGCTATCATTTCCCACTGATTTTAGGAATAAATTATGGGTAGGGTTAGGTTTAGGGGTAGGGATTGGGTTAAGTCTATATTTTTGGACATTAATGTTGATCCAGGATCATCAAAAGATGTTGATCCAGGAACATGTCTTACTTGGCAAAATCACGGTGACCCCTTCCCTCACATTCCAGACCTTTTTAGTGGGACTGAGCACAAGAGTGAGCGCCTACATTTTTCAGACACTTTGGTTCTGGAAGTACTTTTACCATTTAAATTGTCCATAGGGATTTCAAAACATTTTTACCAGCTCTGAGATATAATTTTTTTTTCATTTCTTTTCTTTTTCCTTTTTTTTTTAATAAGCGTGTTCTGAATATTTGATGGCATCATATACACTGTAAAAAATGATTGTGAATATATGTAGTTGTATTGTGTATATATGAAGTTTTACAAGAAAAATTAAGTCTTTCAACTTCAAAATTTCATGTTTAATGCAATGTGTCTTCTTAATTCTTTGTGAAATTTACTACCAATTTCTCAGTTAAAATTGTTTCGACACCAAATTATTTTCACTGTACTATAGTCTTAAAAGGTTTATAGAGAACTGTTAAAAAATCTGTTTTCTTAATGGCAAAATGAATGGGATGAAAATTAATTCATTCCAGTTGCCCTCTATATACGGTTTTTCACAGTGGTTGAGCAGAAATTTGGGTCTTATATTGATTTCAAACACTAAAAATGACATGAAATATGACAGAATCTGATCTGAGAAACAAGCTGTATGAGATATGATAAATCCATTTAAAATGAGTCTGGGCTTTCTGGAAGTAATGCACATGAGCACACTAATGATTCACAGATAAATAAATTCACACATCCCACTCTTCACAGAACTGAACCATACAGCCCGTACATTCTTCCCAAAGGAATACCTGTCTCGGAAGCAGAATTTCCAGAAAGCGGGCTGTGCAAAATGGCCTCTTCCGAGCTGCCGTAAACTGTTTCGAATTTTTGGAGGTCAAACAATTTTTTACATCTATTCCACTTATTTCCCCTTCAGATTCAGTTGTTATTCTTCATATGGTAGTAATGCTTACTGTTCTTTGTCTTGCTCTTTTTTTCTCTCCCACTCTCTCTTTCTTAGGCTTTGAAAGGCAGGCAAGTCCAATCGGCAGACGGCAGTTCCCTCACGGGGGCTACCGGCTTGATGCCTTCAACTTTGAGGATGATTCACATGGCTGGCGATTTGACATGGACATGGTGATCATCTACTCTGTCAACTGGGTCATTGGTTTCATTATCTTCTGCTATTTCTTCTTCCTCTCTTTTTAAAGAGAAGGCACAGGGAAGCTGTCTGCGCTGTTTCAGATCTTTTAGGACAATACAAAAGTCGGGAAGAAGGGAATCACACACTGCAGCTGTTTCTGGACTATGTGTAGGAAACACCAACCAGTCACAGAGAGAAAAGAATGCATGCAGCTAAAATTGAGTGTGATGATCCGTTTACTGTAAAGATTAATCGTGATTTTTGAGTTTGTGGTTTGCCTACAGAATTTTGGCTGACTGCGTGGAGAAGCTTTGCATGGATAATCACAAGTGGACTATTCATTTCACTACAAGTTGTATTCACATGCTGTATTTTCATGTGAATAAACTTGTAAAAGGTCTTCTCTAGAGGTTTGGAAACTATCCATAACTACGGGTCAGCTTCTAAACTATTCATAAAATATGCTGAGAATAATAGCATCTCATTTGTTTTTAACCTTTCTTGCTTGCTTTTACAGCATTTGTAAATTTGCCATAATGGTTCTTTGTCTGGTATCAATACCTAATACTCCATTTGTTGTCTTAGATAGACTTTTGCAACACAATATATATATATATATTATACTCATGAACATGAAGCAGCAATAAAAATATTTTAGCAGTGGAAATCTTTGCCTGCACTTGAATAAATATTTCATGTTGAAAGCATGAAGTATCATCCTTTGGAAACTTGTCCAGTCCATGTTGTTAACACAAGCTGTCTTGTTCTACAACATGTTCTAAATGTGTTGTCAAGACACTCCACATCAATTCTATTCATCTCATGCACGCACACACACACACACACACACACACACAGTATCTCAAATGCAGTGGTTTCTAGTGATTTGGCAGAGTACAACAAAACAGGCTGCCATTAGCAACTCATCCAATATTAAAGGGGTCATATGATGCGATTTCAAGTTTTCCTTTCTCTTTGGAGTGTTACAAGCTGATTGTTCATAGATAAGATCCCTGAAGTTGCAAAGACTAAAGTCTCAAAACCAAAGAGATATTCTTTATCAAAGTTAAGACTCTGCCACGCCCCCCCTAAAACGGCTCGTTCTAACATGCCCCCCCCCCACATATCTACCTCACTATGTGGAATTATTTGCATAATGCCACCCAAATGTTCATGCAAAGAAAGAAGGCGTGGTTTCAGTAACTGCAGTTAGTGTTGAAGCAGCCATGTCAGGGAGACGCTGTGTGTTTCTAGGCAAAAGCAAAAGCACTTTATTTGGCCTTCCGAAAGTAGATGCATTTAGGAATCTTTAAGATTACTTACAACAGAACAGCAATGCATTTTATGGACGACCGTTTCGTGAACCTAGGAGAGGAGGTAATTCTGACTTTGCTATGACAATCTGGCGCTTCTGAATCAGCTACTGTTTTGTTATTAGTTTAAGTATTTGCTATTGACTGTTCAAATGCGGAGTTTTGCGCATCTTGTGTGTGTGTGTGTGTGTGTGTGTGTGTGTGTGTGTGTGTGTGTGTGTGTGTGTGTGAGACAGAGAGAGACCAGCTTAATCACTGTGTCTGTCACGCGACTCTGTTCCCCTTTCAGGCTCTGTCTTTACATTTATTTTGAAAGATGAAGCTCGCGATTATGGTAAGGGCATTACATTTCCGACGAGTGCTTGCGGTGTTCGGCCAATCACAATGCACTGGGTCAGCTGGCCAATCAGAGCAGACTGCACTTGTCGGAAGGAGGGACTTTGTAGAAAATGAAGCGTTTGAGAGAGGCGGGGCATAGAGGACCTACAATAATGTACAGTATTTTAAAAAATAATGTGTTTTTTGAACATTAAAGCATGTCAACATATTCTGTTACACCAAATACACAAAATAATGATCTTTAAAATAGCATCATATGACCCCTTTAAGTCAAATTTTGCCGCTTCCCTTTTGTACAATTAGGATTTGGTACAATAAACAGTATGAGTCAACCACAAACACAACATTTCCTAATAACCAGCCTTAAGATACTTTACTTTTATGAATATTTAATAAGATTCATTTGAAATGGCTTACATGGGAAATGTTTTATTGACCACACACACAGACACACATTCATTATCTATTTGTTATATGTGTTATTTTATTTATTTAGACACCTGCTGAAAAACTTTGAAGCCAGTCTAAGATGATTTGTCTTCCAACCTGATCCAATATGTCTGTCTGTTTGATTTAAGTGTTTTTGGACACTTTTCACACACCAAACACCAGCTTGACCAGAGTAGAAGACCAGCTAAGACCAGAAAGGCACTTTAACTTGACTTATAGTGCTTTTTTCCAGCAGGGTAGATAGATTTGAGCTGCCTATGATTTCACTCGTGTATTTTTATCGCTTCCTTTCAGTGGCACACTCGCTGAAGCCGTGAACACACTGGAGTTGGTGAATCTGTTGCATTAGTATTCTCATCCTATGAGAGTGCAGTGTGTTCAACCGCGTCATGCCTCAAGCAACTGCACCTATCAAGGTTAGAAAAGCGCTCTTAGATCACCTTCTGCTACCTACTCTCAATAAACGCCATATAGAGTTTATCGTTTCAACTCGCGGCGCATATTAGTCTATTTCGAGTTGCGGTTACTGTCGCAGTACTGTTTCGTTTAAAAGCGGCTGTTATTTTCTTCGTTGAAGGACTATACGGGGCATCAAGACATGTTTGCATCTGGTTCTTTGTTGTCGCATTTCTCTCTGCTGAAGAAGACGAAGCCCTGCAAGGACACTTCAGCTCTCTGCTGGAGTGAATGAAGGTGACTCGGCTTCTGCTATCTGCATCGTGGCAATGCGGAGAGAATCCAGGAGCAAGACACGGGCAGATCGATCAATTGAGTAAGAAATTTACCAAACGAGTGGCACCATATTGATCAATCGGTATTTTATATCAGGGCAGTTTCTTCACTTGATGTGTATGCATGAGTTCTGCACCGAATGGGCGCAAAAACCGCCCCAGAACTGCCGGGACCATTTTCCAGATCGGCAGTAAGCCCCCGTCCAGAGAGCCGGAGCGCCGGGAGAGCAGCGAGGCTCTGCGTGCTGTAGCGGACTGCAGAATGGTGCGTATAAGCCTGCGTCATGACCCACAGCATTATTCCGCTCTGAATCCTGCTGATTGTTCAAGCACTGTTTGAAATTCACGCAGGGTTCTGCAAGTGCCAACATCCTAAATGTATAATGCGACACTAGGGACTTTAAATATTGAATGATTTGGCTTGGAGGTCTGTGACTTGTCCAATGGTGGGGCGGTAGTTCCAGCTTCATTTTCTCGGGCTGCTTTTCCAGAAACAACGTTTCAGTTGGCAGATTATGGCATGGAGTGAACGATATGATTTAGTACTCAATTTTGGGGTAAAACTGCGAGCACATTTGGAAAGCAAACTGGCTTGTGTGTTGTGTTTGAGGAGTCTTTGCCCCATTAACAGGCAGAAGGCTTGTGGCAAGCCGCCTTAACATTGACCATTTGCTTTGAGTTTTTGACACTGAATTCTGTATTGCTGATATTAGCTGTTCATTTATGACTAATATGTGACCCTGGACCACAAAACCAGTCATAAGTAGCACGGGTATATTTGTAGCAATAGCCAACAATACATTGTATGGGTCAAAATTATCAATTTTTCTTTTATGCCAAAAATCATTAGGATATTAAGTAAAGATCATGTTCCATTAAGACATTTTGTAAATTTCCTACAATAAATATATCAAAACTTAATTTTTGATTAATAAGATGCATTGCTGAGAACTTCATTTGGACAACTTTAAAGGGGTCATATGATGCTGCTTAAAAGAACATTATTTTGTGTATTTGGTGTTATGAAATGTGTTTATGCGGTTTAAGGTTCAAAAAACACATTATTTTCCACATACTGTACATTACTGTTTCTTCTCTATGCCCCGCCTTTCTGAAACGCGTCGATTTTTACAAAGCTCATCGGTCTGAAAAAGCGAGGTGTGCTCTGATTGGCCAGCTATCCAGTATGTTGTGATTGGCCGAATACCTCAAGCGTGTGACGGAAATGTTACGTCCCTTACCATATTGTGATGCCTGCGGCAACCACATGTGACGACCCCGTGCTGGACTCCACTTCGTCCACGGTGAAAGCAGATCCGGCGATCGACAGCGCGAAGTTGACATGGCCTTCACGACATGGCGGCGGCGGCAACAATACTACAGTGAGAATAAAAGTTACGCCTTCTTTCTTTGCGTGAACATTTGGGCGGCGTTATGCAAATCTTCCCAGATAGTGACGTAGGTATGTGGGGCGTGTTAGAACGAGCCGTTTTAGGTAGGTGTGGCTGACTCTTAACTTTTATAAAGAATATCTCTTTGGATTTGAGACTTTAGTCTTTGCAACTTTACAGATCTTCTTTATGCACCAAGAGCTTGTAACACTCCAAAGAGAAAGGAGAAATTTAAATAGCATCATATGACCCCTTTAAAGGCGATTTTCTCAATATTTAGATTTTTTGCACCCTCAGATTCCAGATTTTCAAATAGTTATATCTCAGCCAAATATTGTCCTATCCTAACAAACCATACATCAATGGAAATTTATTCAGCTTTCAGATGATGTATAAATCTTAATTTCAAAAAATTGACCCTCATAGTTTTGTGGTCCAGGGTCACATATGTATTCCAGTTGTTGCTGGTCACTATTCCAGTGTTGCTTGTAAGTGCTGGAGTGTTTGTAAGCAACTTGTTGGCATGATTCAATGACAAAAATATGCAGTATGTGTAATGTAACAGTTACTTGTCACTATAGTAGTAAGTGAATAAGTATTAGTGACTGAATATAATAGATACTAGTCACTACTGAAATAAATACTAATTTGTAATGAATAGTTACTAGAGAAATAATAAGAAAACATAGCAATCACTCTGAGATTACTTATGAGTAATTAAAACATGAAAACGAGTAATAACAGTAGACTTTAGTTAAAGGTATTTATGTTAAAACAGCTTGCCATTGAATGCTTTCTTTCTGCCAAAAATTGATAAAATGGCATGAGCATCTGTCGCCTGTGGCACTGCTCTCCAACAAATAGCCTGTTTTACCTTTGTGGCATTGTCAGGTTGTTTCAGTGTTCAGAATGAAAAAAAAATTCTTGACAAGTTGAATACATGTCTTTTCATCAATGTTTTGTCATGTTTCCTTTATATGCTTTATACATTTTTGAGGTTAAAATGGTTTTGTGAGCCATGTATTTTCTCAGTTTGCATTTGTTTTTCTTTCTTCCATCAGGTTGTCCAGGAGTTCAATACACTTGTGGCCCTCTATCGGGAATTGGTTATCTCTATTGGAGAGATTTCCGCTGATTGTCCCTCTCTTCGTGCGGAAATACACAAGACACGCACAAAAGGCTGTGAGATGGCACAGACTGCACATCAAAACCTTTCTGCAATATCAGGGTAAAAACACATATACATACATACATACATACATGCATACAGATATTTGATTGTGGATGCAAAGAGTCATATATATTTACATTACATATTAACACTACATTTTAATGTGGCGTTAGCTTTGTTTAAAATTAATGTCTTATTTTTATTTATTTTTTATTCATTTTTTAATTTCTTTCACAAAAATCGATTTGTTATCAAGCAATAATTAGCTTGTAGTACCCCTTCGGCCCCCCTAGGGGTCATGGGCCCCCTATTGAAATCATGTCATATATTATGAAACTGTGACAAAATTTCACCTTCACAGCAACATAAGGTTATAAATATCAGCTGGTGCTGACTGGCATATCATGCACTATATTTGACGAGCAGGGTACATGCGAATTAAGTTGTAAATTATGCTTTCTACTGTGAATTTACCATAAATCACAGGGCTGTTACATGATTTCATATTCTAAGAACACAATAAATCAATACCACAACTTTTGATTAGAAATGGCCAAATTTTCCCCCCAATATTTGAAATTCTTGCACTGCTCTGCTGCACTCGATTACGCACCGCTCTGTTTGCTGTTAGGACGACAAAAGGTTTTAAACTTACATTTTTAAGCTGGTCTGTCTCAGTGTTTCGACAGTGTTTGTCAATGTCAAAATAATTGAGATGGTCAATTGAATTGAACAAGGTGAGGTTTACTGTACATAGAAACCCAGCGTGAATTCCAGCACCAAGCTTCAGTTTTAACATTGATAGAGAGCAAGGTAAGTTGAAAGTAATGAAACAACCGACAATGCTATAAAGTGATTCAAACCAGCCTAAAACTGAATCAAAATTAAAACTGAATGTGATGAAACAACATTTTGCATTTTCAACATATTAAGCATACAAATAAGAGTGAATGTGTGCATATTTGAAAATATTATTTGCAAATAATTCTCTAAAAATGATTCCTTAACAACTAGAAATAGACCTAGCATTTTATTTCTTTATACTTCATTAAAAAATGGTTTGCTACAATTGTCAAGGCGTGGTTATGGCCTTGCTTTACATGATTTATCTTTTATGCATGCATTCGGTGCATCTCTCTGTTCCAAGTAATTCAATAACAGGGGAAAAGGAACAAGAAAATAAAGTATCCACCATGCCACAGCATTACACCTGGGAATTACAGAGCAGTAATTACAGGCGTAGGATTCTGAGAAATATGGTTTTCTGAGAACTGTCACTCGCCACTGAGCTAATATGTTTAGAGCTCTAGATTGTCTGTACAGCCTTGTAAACATGCTGCTCAGAAATAGTCAAAACATCTACTTGGGGAGATATACTCAATATTCATGATATATTCACAATGATTTTGCTGCCATGATGAATATAGGCATGATTTCAATGGGCTTTTTATTTGGTCATTAAGTTTCATTAAGACAGTGTCATTTTAGTTTCAGGGGCCTATAAACTATTAAGACTGATGTTTTAATAGCAAAAATGGTGTTATAACTGGTAAGTTTGATACATTTTTGTGAATCAGTTCTGTTTCAATATTCCAACTCAACTCAATTTGCATTCGGTCTGCTTCACATTTTAATTATTATTATTTTATTTTTTTTATCTTGTGTTGTTATATTTTGTGCATTTAAATGAATAAATGAAATTAATTTAGCCATAATTGCTTTTAATTCAGTTTTTAATGTTTGAATTTTTGAATATACATTGGCTGTTTAATTGTAATGATGGTCCTACAGATTGGAAAAAGGCACTAAGCAATTTCAGTGCAAATAATAAATACAAATATATTGAATTGAATATTAATCAAAAGTCTGAAAAATACCAAGATATACAGTAAATGCTATAGCTGTATTGTCCAGCATGACATACAATGTGTCCGAGATGATTTCCGTCACTGGTCACTTATTGAGGACTGTGAGGCATAGGAACGCAGGGATATGTATCTTGAGAGAAATTAGACAGGTTGAAGCGCAGGGCTCTGGGCCAGAACTCTGCAGAATCCAGATCTAAGATGCATTATTGATGCTTTTTTTTCACAGCCCTGAAGATGGTGAAATACATCCGGAGATCTGCCGCCTCTTCATCCAGCTGCAGTGCTGTCTGGAAATGTACCTGACGGAGATGCTGAAGTCTGTGTGTCTGCTGGGATCCCTGCAGCTCCACAGGAAAGGTAATGCCGTGAGGGCGCCCCTAGGCTCTTAGCAGGAAACAGCCACACCAGCGACAGGAAATTGGTGTTGATGAAGCCTGGCTTGTCCAGCTGTAGAGCTTTCCAGTGGCTTGATATTTGCAGGAGTCGACACTGCTAGTTTCTGTGAATTGTATCTTATTTGAGCTTATCGGAAACTGTAAATATGGATGCTCTGGGAGCAGGTTGACTTGTTGCCCTGGGGTCAAACCTTGAGATGACATATTTTGACCATTTCTGTTTAGAGTCCGTTAGTGATGTCTCACTGTATGTGTTCCAGGAAAACATTTTTCAGGAGCTACAAAGGTAGAAAGTAAGAAAGAGGACAGCTCTGACATCCCAATCCTGGAAGACACGTCATCCACTCTGCCGGACTGTCCGCAGACATACTTCCTGGTGGCCACAGACATTGAGAACATCGAGAGGTGAATAGTCTGAGCTGCTGAACAGGATCTTTATTTTTTTTCTATGAAACTGACCGTATTGAATCTGAAACGGTTCCTCAATGTTCTAGGGACATGACAGAAATGAAAAATCTGCTAAGCAAACTCAGGGAGACCATGCCTTTACCACTGAAGAACCAAGGTAATATCTCTCAACTTTCTGAATATTTGACCAACAAATTCATAGAAAACTTGTACAACCATTCAAATGTTTGGGGCTGTAAGATTGTCTGTTTTTGAAAGAGTCAAGAGTCTTATGCTCACCAAGGCAACATTAATTTGATAAAAAAAATACAGTAAAACAGTAATATTGTAAAATAGTATAGTATTTAAAAAAATGTTGTCTATTTTAATATATTTTTAAAATTGAATTTATTCCTTTGATAGCAAAGTTAATTTTCAGCAGATATTACTCGTCTTCAGTGTCACATGATCCTTTAGTTGCTGATCAAGAAATATTTCTTGTTGTCAATGTTAAAAACAGCTGTTTAATATTTTTATGGAAACATCGCTACTGCAATTTTTTATTAATTATTCCTTTCTGAATAAAAGTATCAATTTCTTAAAATAAAACCGTACTGACCCCAAACTTTTGAACGGTAATATATTAAGCTTCACTTAGCATTAAAGATGTCCTTATACCTAAAAGGATTATTTGCCAGAAAATAATATTAATAATAATATTAATGTAGTTGCTTCAAGTGACCACATTTTTATTTCCATTTTGCAAATTTCAGAATATCGCAACATTTAGATTTTATTTCAAAATTAGATTTGCAACTAGTTAATGTTGGCTAGATGGTAACAAAATGTTGAATCAGTGTTCATATATAAGGTCCTTCAGAATTATCAGCAGCTTTCGCATTACTCAATAGCTAATTACCCTCCTCCATCCCCAGCTCCTCCTCTGTCAGTCAGGATTCAGTCTTCTGATTCCCCTTTGAAACAGACTTGTTTCTAAAATGTTTGCATAAAATTACTGAACATTAATGATATCTGCAATACATTTATGTTGGTTCTGTTCTGTTTACCCTGGGGGATTATCGCTGCTCTCCCTGCTCTCATCCATGCTAGGCCGCATGGATGTGCAGGGAGTTCTTGCCCAGAACAGAACCATAACGCCAATCCTAACTGTATGCTAATTGCCAGTCATATTTGACGATAATGGTCCTGACAGAAATAATGTTTTGTTAAATGTATAACGTATATGATGACAGATGATTCATTAATGTTTGCTCCATTAATCTTTACATTTATCTGTTTTCGTATCAATACAGATGACAGCAGTTTGTTGAATCTGACGCCATACCCGTTGGTCCGGCAGAGAAAACGGCGTTTCTTTGGCCTCTGTTGTCTGGTGTCCAGCTAAGAGCTCTCTCTCCCAGAATCCAGTCACAAATTACTGCGTTTCCTCACAATGTGTGACACTCACCAATCAACAGTACTACTGCCATTTCCCAAACCAGTGCTTTCTTTTGGTGAGTTCTGTCCAATTTCCTACTGCTATGAGAATAAATAGTAATATCTGTGTAACATCAGTAGTCATACAAACACAATATAATATTTGATCAGTTTGACAGATTTTCATTTTTAACTGAATGTTCGTCTACATTATGCTTAGTAAAGAAAATGGTTTGTAGTATGAATACTGCTATGTTTGTCCACACGATTCATATGCTGTGCTTTTTGTCAAGACAGGTGTTTTAATGAGGCGTTCAAGAGTGCTAATTAGAGCGGAGGTTATGCTGAACATTTAAAACATATATATATATACTGCAACATGAGTGAATGTCCTATCGGTTGGTTCTTTTGATCTGATTTTTTGCTGTTACCATGTTTTTACAACAGTATTATTTAGTCTTCCATAAACCGAAATCCTGTAACATTTTTCGTTTTGTTTCAGCCTTTAGGAGTATATAATACCTGAAGAAGCCTTTGTAAATAAAGAATATATCTATAAATGGAAATTTTAGAGATGTACATATAAAATGTAAACCTAGCGCTCTGAATTATTTTTCAAAACTGTGATTCTTTTAAAGAGATTGTCAGTAAAGGGTGGCATGTCTATCCATCTGGTGTGATATAAGTCCAGATTGGAGGGGCTCAGCATGGGTCTTGCTTATTAATAACAGTTCTAAATGTGTCAGGCATGGTGAAGATACTGTAGTGTTTATGAAAAGGCGCAGTGTCATTTTACATTGGTAATAAACCTTTTTTTAATGATTTAACAAACTGGAACTTTGTGTCTTGTATTAGAAATGGTTTTAACATACAAAATACCACAAGAAAAGGTACAGATATGAATCTGTGGAATAATAAAAGTCAGTATCAATAGGTATTACCCTCTTTTCAGAGAAACGCAGATTAGTCCGATTTTCAGTAAGAAACAATATAAACCATCTGATATCCACAATTCTCAGAACAGCCCTCTGACAGGTCGCAGGCTCCAATTTCAACGTCTCCCATTAAATTTATCATGTTTGGATCTCAGTCAGTTATAGGTAATTGGATTTGTTAGCACATTAATAGGGAGACTGTGAAATTCACACCTGGCAGCAGCGCCTACCCTTTTACTTTCTCGCAACAATGCGGAAGCAGTAATGGAGGGGGAAAAAAAAAAAAAAAAAAAGCGTTTACAGGAACAAACATGGTTTTCAGGTTAATTATTTGGCTGCAGTGCTGATGCTGGAAAAGCTGTTGGCGGAATCCGGGCTGTTTGTCAGGAGTTTGTCAGGCCGTCTCGAGCTGGCTCAATATGATGCTGTCCAGAGCCCAGTGGAAGTCCAGAACAGGTTGACAGGAATGCACGGCAATGTTGGTTTAACTTGTGCTGTCTTATTTTTTTTGCTGGTTATTAGGCTAACCAAAAAGTTAAGGAAAGTGAAGACGCGTAGTTTTGCTTGATTTTTGTCTGCCACTGATTCTCATTTTATTCTATGACATAAAATACATGAGTATACACTCCCTTGTGATTTTTTTTAAAGCTTTTACTTGTCTTGAAAAAGGCAGTTAAATGGGACACATTAAATATCATCAAAGCAAACAGGAAAACTTATCTACTCACTAGTCCACTATGCCCCTGTTTTAACTCAAGCTTTCATGAAAAATGTTTTTTAAATAAAGTCATGTGACTGTGGAGTAGTTTTTTTGATTGTAAATGTAGGGTACAAAATTCCTTTACACTTTAATTCATAAGTGAGGCTCTGAGATTATGACTGAGGGTTGAATGCTGACAATGCGGACTGCTTCTCCTTTGCATTTCCTCACAGCCGCCTCACATTCTGTCATTGTCACTGGTGCAGACGCTCCTTCCTGCTGCACGCACACATGGATCCAAGCGTCCAGGGATGAGCATTCCTCACTTGTCTTCCAACAGCAGCTGTTCGTTTGCTCTACAATGACACAATTTTCGTAGCCAAGCATTCCTCCTGAATGCAACACTGCAACATTTTAAGTCTTTAAAATAGCACTTTTCTTACCAGGTTCAAAAATACATTAGCAAGAATTGACATTTTCAGGCCATGGGTTCCCTCAGGAATTTCAAATGGGTTTTTCAAAAGGCAGTTTTCAATTTCTGTGGTTAGCATTATTTGAAGAGATGGCCATGATTTGTTTCACAACATTAAAGCATTGGGCTACATTCATGTTTGGGTATGAAAGCATGTACTTCATGTTGTTAAACAATCAGTCAAGTTGTGTTAACCACAGACATTCAGAATGCCAAAATAAATCTCAAAGTGTCTTCACGCTCAGTTTTACATGTTACAAAATGACCCTTTTGAAAAAGAAGTGTGATTAATTGATTGTCGTTATTTTTGTTTTCTTTGCCCACAAAAAGTATTCTCGTAGCTTCATAAAATTACGGTTGAACCACTGATGGCACATGGACTATTTTAACAATGTCCTTACTACATTTCTAGGCTTTGAACGTGGTAGTTGCATTGCTGTCTATGCAGAGTCAGAAAGCTCACCCAAAAATATGAAAATATGTGTTCCGAAGATGAACAAAGGTTTTATGGGTTTGGAATGACATGCAATTAATGAAAGAATTTTCATTTTTGGGTGAACTATCCCTTAAGCATATTTTTTAGGTATATTATTTCCTTATTAAGTACTCTTTTTAAAAGTATGCTAAAGTGCACTTCTTTTTCACAAAGGGATGTGTGCCATTCTTTTATTTTGTATTTTACAATCCCTCACCATCACACATCTCCCAGAGCAAGTGGTGGATGAGTGATGTGGCCACTGGCTGGTCTTCAGTACACAGACTCAGTGTCCGTGTCCGACCGCGCTTCTCATCAGTGGCACATATCTCCAAGAAAGACCTGCAGAAGACAGAAAAAATCCTTTATTAAACTGAAAATAAAATGTGTGGGTTTTGGTGGATGGCTGTATAAAAATGCCTTATGACATTTACATGATTTTTTTTAATTATAATTTTTTTTGCATTTGTGTAATGTACATGCTAAAACCTTCCTGTCTGGGAACATACTTGCACTCGTGGGGTACTTTACAGACACATTTGTCCTTTGCCAGGTTCTCCCATGGCTGGCATTGCACTGGCACAGTGTCTGACTTAAAAACTAGTGGGAAAACAAATACCTTTTACTCACACTACATTTTTATGCATCAATACATTTCAAAATTTATGTAATGACCTTGTAATGACTGTCACTTTACAAAGTTTGAGTAATGTGTATCATTTCCTTCATTTTGACATTGTGTACAAAACAACACAGCTTCCACACTAGTTTTGTACCTGTGAGACACCTGGTTTCTTTTGGTTGCGGTGACCAGGAAAGGCCAGCATTGCACTGAATCTCAGCCGGACCTTCTCTGAATGTCCCTTCAGGGCAGGACAGTGAGACAGCTTCACCGATGTTATACGTAAGCTTCCATGGGCTTCCAGTGACATCTGGAGGAAGCTGAGGTAGAGCACATAATGTTTCTGCAGACAGCAAGCAACATTTATTATAAAACCTATATAACTTATTTATGGTTTCTCATGTCTCTGAAATGTAAAATATACAAATAAAAAAGTTAATATTTAAACAATGAAAAAACAATTAACAAAAATTATATTATGTATTTGTATCATATATATAGTATTAATAAAACATGGTTTCTAATTTCTCTGTATAAATAATCATATAAAAATAATAAAAGTTATAAAAATCCATAAAGTAATTATTTTATACACAATATAAAACAAACATACTATTTAACATTTAGTATTAATGAAACATGGTTTCTCATTCTCTAAAATGTATAATTTAAATAATTTAAACAGCAATAATTATTATATATCTTACATAAAATATATATTACAAAAGATTAATTATGTTTATATCATTTAATATTTAAGTGAAATATAAATAATCTTAAAGTTACTAATGAATCTTTTTTTGTTATTTACTTATATATTGGTTAATTATATATATTTCATTTAATTTGTTATTGTTTATTTATTTATTTATTTTTCTGTCCATCTGAGTTAATATGAATGGGGGGATTGTGGAAGGGATTAATAATGGACAATATCCTACTGTTCACCTTGTTATCATTATTTCAATCTGTATTGTCACACAAAATACCAATAAAAAGATTTGAAGTAAAGTTACTAACGAATCATTAAGAATTTGTGAAACATGGTTTATGTATAAATAGTTTCAATAATTATATACAGAATATAAAATGCATAATCTATGATCATACATCATATATTCATACATAATATGATTTCTCAACCAGTTCAGATTTTCTTGGCATTCTGCTGTAGGATCCCTGATCAGGTGAAAGCCCTCAATACATGCATACTCAATCTTACTGCCCACTGGATATGCATCTTTGGGGTACTGCAATTAGGGGAAGACGACGACATTATAACATATCAAAAAACACATTCAATCATATTGTAATAATAATATAATTATTATTATTATTACCAAAACAAACCGATTAGCGAGGAAGGGGGACGTTTTACAACTTTTCCTTCATTTTGAAAACAGGTCAAAGCCAATAAGTCAGGTTTCCACATAGTGGCAGTGTTGTTGCACAGTAACTTTCTCTGGGTCTCTAGCACCTTGTAAAGAACAGCTTATTACAGCTTTTCAGAACAGAGCTTTGTGCTGTTGAACAGTCTGGTGACCTTTCCTCACGGTAGGTAATCTAATTCATCATCACAGGCTGTGGTCTCCACAGCGTTCCCAATACAGTCTCTGCCGCCTGAAGGAGCGAGTCCAGCGCTTCTGACCTTCCCTGCAGGAGCTCCATGAAGACCAACAGGCCCAGTCTCCATGGATCACTCATAAGACACAAAGACATGAACTGAACACTCAGGAACTAGTATAGTGACCCCCCCAAACATATTTGGATACTTAAGCCATGCTTAAAAATGAAAATATAATGAATATAAATTGAACATGTTTATATTTACAGCACATTCCCAATCTCATATCATAAAGTAAAATCATACACTAAAAATGAGAAAAAGTGTCAAATAAAATGTTTTTAGTTATTATAAAATAAATGTTTACATTTATAAATGAATGCAGTTAAATGTATTTTTTTTAATTACACTATTACTGTTTCGTTATGATTTCAAAAGATTGAATTCATTAGCTAAAATCACCATTACACAATTTACTTCATGGTTATACATACAGTATAATAATACTCTAAATATGGATAAAGAATATACAGTATGTAGCTTAATATAAACTGGTCTTCTTTATACATGAAAATATTCAGCTGCCTTATTTTGGGCATGGCAATTTATACATTTTGAGGCAAATCTTTTTGTACATTTTCATTTAAATCAAATCATTTTTAATATAACAATTTAATATAATAATATAATTAGAGCTGCTTTACAGAAGAGGTTTCCATAATTGATTCTGCAAAAAAAAATTCTGATCATCTCATTGTATCCTTGACCTGACTTGACTTGAATCAATTATATAATCATAATTGAATCATTTAAAATTGCCAACTCGTAAAATGGTTACATTTTCTCTTGAGATTGGGCTGGGATCATCATCATTTGGGGCTTTAAAAAGTGTAAAAACCCCTGATCTATGCGATATTAATTGAAGTGATTAATCTGTACCTGGTTGTTCATCTTGTGGTGTCCCATGCTCGCATGCCTGGCCTTTGGTGCCTGGTTTACACAAACACTTA